GTGTGTGCATGCCTGTGTGGGTACATGCCCGTGTGTGTGTGTGTGTGCGCACGCCCATGTGTGTGCGTGCCCTGGTGTGTGCATGCCTGTGTGGGTGCATGCCCGTGTGTGTGTGTGTACCCATGTGTGTGCATGCCTGTGTGTGTGTGTGTGCCCATGTGTGTGCATGCCTGTGTGGGTGCATGCCCGCATGTGTGTGCGCGCCCATGTGGGTACATGCCCGTGTGCACAGATGCCCACTGCTTGTGTACGTATGTGCCCGTGGGCATGTGTGTGACTTTGATACAACTTTAATCTGACTCTTGTCACAGCTGCCATATTGATCATCAACAACATGGCTCTTTGCCCCTCAGAGCCTCTGGGTTTCCAGGTCAGGGGGGCATGGTCCTGGTGAAGAACCCCCAGAACAATCCAGAGCCCCCACACTCCCACACCAAGGACACACTCCCATCTACGTCACGTAGAATCAGACAGTCCAACAGGTGTTCCCAAGTAAGCCATTCCCAGACCAAATTAGCGTGTGAACCACCTGACGCTAAGCCCAAATGACCAAAATGATTTAAGTCAGACCTACCAGGCAACCCGCAATGAAATGTGATGAGCAAAGCCATTTAAATCAATAGAAACCCTAAAGATCACATAATAGAAACCATGATCTTTTGACTGTGACAAGAATAAACCTGTCTGGGGGCAGAGTTCAGCCAGGAACAGGCCATCCATTATGGCCCCACAATTTCCCACAGTTCAGGGACCCGGATTCTTGAGTACCAGCGCTTACAGCAAACATAACCCTTTGAGTTATTACTCCCAAAAAGGTATAGTCTCAGAACGTAATAGATGAGTCACGCTGGATAAGAACTTCAGGCAGCTTATGATAAAAATGATTTCTTAGACAAACACATTGACTATTTCAGACCGGGGAAAGCTGTGCAAGATGTATTTTTGGTTTTGGGTTAAACGAAATGATGATAAACCTCTGTTTTTCTAAATTTTCCCAAGGTCTCCAAGCGAAGCACAGTGGGCTGAACGCTGGCTCAGCCGGAGTCTGGGGAGCTGCCTCAGCTTCGGGAGTCTCAGTGTCCCTGGTGACAGAGGGACAAATGTCTCGGGAACCACCTCTGTGTGCCTCTGACCCATACTTCCCGAGGAACAGAGAAAGTACGACCTCCGCCCCAGAGAAAACTTGACCCCACCTCTTCGCTCACCCCTTGCTTCATCTCATGGCAAAGACTATGAGCTCACAAGAAAACAAAAAGGGTTTCCCACTTGGGAAAATGTTGTAGTTATTGAGACGTTTTGTCTACTTAAATCAGAAAATTCTTGAGAAGGATATAGTTCACATGCCCCCTACTCCAATTATTTAAGCTGAACAATTTCTCATGTAAATACTTTTGGGAGACGGGCTCATGTATTTCTAAATGCAAGCGCTCTATCGGGTTTGAAGATCCACAGAACCGGAAGCCGGGGCGGGCACCCAGAAAGGCTGGCCACCACCGCACACCCATCGCACTGCTTCCCTCTGTCTCCTCTACCTTCATCTTTCGCAAAGAGGAGAGTCGGAGACAGGCTGCCATGTGCAAATGAGACAGAACTCCTGCCCGTGGTTCTGCTCCTCTGGCCAGGCCAACAGACTAGAGGGTCAGAAAATGCTCTCTGCTCCTCCTCACGGGGCCGCGCTGAGGTGAGCACCCGTCTCCCCCAGGCAGACCAGCAGAGACCAGACTCCTCAGGGTCTGGCCAGCAGGAAGGGCTCAGGATGCCTGAGCCCCACACAACCCTCCGGCCTGGGGGCACCCCGAGAAAGAGCAGAAAACGCAGTGGGAGCAAGAACAGTGAAGGGACCTGGGACGGGCAGGAATCAGGGAGCACGGCCAGAGGAGCAAAACCATGGGCAGGGGCAGGGAGGGGAGCCAGGCCCCAGGATGAGGACTGCCAGGAATCCAAAGCGGGAAACGGGGCGAGGTAAGAGGTGGTTAACAACACTAACAGAATTCTTCCTTAGAGTGGAAGGCAGTGTGGACGGAAGGAGGGTGGGGGCACGGAAGAGCCCAGGCAGGCCTGGACAATCTGGGGTTCTCCTCCCCCTTCCCACGTGGGCAAGGCCTCAGGGTTACCGGAGTAGAACGTACAGTCAGCGACTTATTCCAGATCCTGTACCTCTTCCTCATTCACACGCATCTCTGGGGGGCGTCTGCCCAGCTTTTACAGAAGATAAAACATGTTTTCCCACACTTGATTGGGTTGACGATGTAGAACCCAGCACAAGGGCCCTGGAGACCAGCCTTGGAGTGCTGCACCCACACCCAGGAACACGGGCCCCACACCTACTCTGGAGAGAGGGGTCAGGACCTGGCTTAGTGGGTTTGGGAGCACACCCTTGCAGAAAGTTCCCCACCTGAGCCCCAGCCAGCTCCCAGAGCAGGAGGCTCTGCCCCCACTCTGCGGGGACTGAGTGTCACCCTACCTGAGACCAGGGCGAGGTAAACCAGCTGGCTCGAGGGGGGCCTGCAGCTGTGTGCAGAGGGTGCCTGGGGCAGGGAAATGGGGCGCAGGCGCGTTCCAGCTCCACACCAGGCCGCGGCAGGTGCAAGCACTTCTTGGAGGCCAACTCTCGGTATTTCCCAGAAACGTGCTTTTCAGCACACCTTAAAATTCTCTTCTGTGTTCCTCTTTCGCACGTAACAGAGCACTAAAAATGAAAACACAAGATGTGACTGAAAAATATTTCTTTGCTGGCGTCTGTGTCTTTTCTATCATCCAAGAGTTAAATTGTCTTCCGCTTATATCTGCTTGAACATTAACAGAAGTGCAAAAATTCAATGAGATTTATTAGACCTTGGCACTTTAAAAAGGAATTACAATATCTATCTTTTAAAAAGGAGGATCTTAAGGCACAGCGCTTTGGGGCACAAGTAGGGGCAGGGCAAACATAAACCATGAAGGGAGTAGTTTTGAAGCTATCATTTGACTGAAATGTTAAAATGCTGGGTTGCAGCTGATATTAGAGAGTGCAGAAATCTAATACCCGAGGACGACACCAAACCCTGGGGCCCCAAGCAGCCGCACCACCCAACTGTGGCATGATGCTGGTCCCCAGATCACCGGCAGGTGGGGGCACCCAGGGCTCACAAACCCCCCTCAGAAAGCCAAGTGAGGGGAGCAAGCATGGTTGGGGCACAAATCCATTCCTTCCCCACCAGGGAGTGCTCAGAGCCCGGGCTGTGGCTCACACTGCCCCTGGACAAACCCTGCACAGCGGCCGGAGCACATATGAGAGCAATGCACCCTGTGGCACCCTGCGGGCTCTGAGGGTCTCAGAAGAGAGGTCCCGGCTTCGGGCATTGCTGCCTCGAGCTCACCAAGTGGGTGACGCTGAGCCCAGTGGGTGATTCCCAGATTATGTAAATGGAGGAGCCCAGGTTCCGGCCTCATGCACTCATGCGAGGCTTACGGGTGTGCTTTGAGCGTCCCCTGCACTGCAGAGGAGGCAGCACCAGGAGGCTCCTCCCCGCGGCTTGCTGGCAGAAGCTCTGGCATGTGCGTGTGTGTGAAATATTCAGGGTGAAGACCTTCCGCCCGGACGCCATCCATAGATTGCACAGGCTTCCTTCCTATGGGCTCGGACCCTTGTCAGGATGATGAGTGCCCCCAACTCGTCCTGGCCTCAACACTGAGTGAGCAATGGCCATGTGGATGCTGCTGGGTGACACGCTTGAGGGTCGTGATTGGAAAGCCCTGAGCATGTCCAGCAGAGGAGGGCTCTGCAGGGACTGAAGCCCAGAGAGTGGCCTGAACAGGGGAACCAGACTCGGAGGAAGAAGGGGTGGAGGGAGAAGACAGAAGCAGTGAGACCAGGTAAGGGGAGGCTGCCCCAGTCGAGAGCTGGCGACCTGGTTCCGTCTGTACCAGGCACAAGTACAAAGGACCGGGAGCACCTATTTAAGCCCAGGAGCACCCACTCAGGGCTGGCAGCAGCCACCCGGGACCGGCAGCACCCACCTGGGGCCCGGGAACCCACCTGGGATGGCAGACACCCACCTGGGGCCTGGAGCACCCACCCAGGAGTGGCAGACACCTACCCGGGACCCGGGGCACCCACTTGGGGCCCGGAGCACCCACCCAGGGCCAGCAGACACCCACCCGGGATCAGCAGAAACCCACCCGGGAGGGCAGACACCTACCCAGGACCTGGGGCACCCACTTGGGGCCTGGAGCACACACCCAGGGCCAGCACACACCCACCTGGGACCAGCAGCACTCACCCGGGGCCCGGAGCACCCACCCGGGAGTGGCAGCGCCCACCCGCAACCCAGGAACCCACCCAGGACAGCAGAAACCCACCTGGGGCCCGGAGCACCCACCCAGGGCCCGCAGACACCCACCCGGGGCCAGCAGCACCACCTGGGGCTGCAGTACCCACCTGGGGCCGGCAGCACCCACCCAGGGCCTGGGGCTGGCAGTACTACCTGGGGCTGGCAGCACCACCCGGGGCCGGCAGCACCCCCCCCAGGGCCGGCAGACACCCACCCGAGGCCAGCAGCACCACTTGGGGCCGGCAGCACCCCCCCAGGGCCTGGGGCTGGCAGTACTACCCGGGGCTGGCAGCACCACCCGGGGCCAGCAGTACCCACCC